AAATGGCTGTCCACCAACGTTTACCATCCAACCTGACAGAACTGGAGAGGATCTGCAAGGAGGAATGACAGAGGATCCCCAAATGCAGGTGTGAAAAACTTGTTGCATCATTCCCAAAAAGACTCATGGCTGTATTAGCTCAAAAGGGTGCTTTGACTAAATACTGAGCAAAGGGTCTGAATACTTATGACCATGTGATATTTCAGTTTTTCTTTTTTAATAAATCTGCAAAAATGTCAAAAATGCTGTGTTTTTCTGTCAATATGGGGTGCTGTGTGTACATTAATGAGGAAAAAAATGAAATTAAATGATTTTAGCATATGGCTGCAATATAACAAAGAGGGGAAAATTTAAGGGGGTCTGAATAATTTCCGTACCCACTGTATGTAGGCATAGTTTTATCTTGTGAACCTTGTATTGGATGTCTGCATGAGGCACCTTTGACCTTTTCAGCTTACTGGATGTTGAGGAGTGTTGTCATATTGCGATTATTATTTAGTATCCCACTTAAAACTGTGTGATATGGTCAAAAGCGTAGCAAAACAAGTGAGTAAGTGGATCTTGAGTTGAGATTGATGCTGCTCCCATAGGCCAGGAATGATTAGTTTTAACATGGATTAGATGTAATAAAAGACTCAGAATCAACAGTTTGGCCATCTGGAGGTCAGTAACAACTGAATAAACTACATCTGCTGTGATCTGGTCAAAAGCTTCAGACCACGGTTGACCTTGATTTGAGATTGTTTGGGGATCTATATTGTTCTCTCTTGCAGTAATGATTTTGGAAGTTGACTTGTGAAGATAGATTTGGGAAAAAATAATTTCCAGTTGTAGTTCAGTAAATCTAATTATACATATTTAAACACGCTGTCATGCCCACTAGCACATGCTTCTTTCAGATCTTGCCACTGCAGGTTTACGTACTGAGAGTTAAGTGGCTGCAAATTCTAAAATGCTATGTCACTATTAGCCATTCTGGCACAAATTCTAATTTCCTTGACAGACTACCTAATGCTACAATGCTACCTATAGCTGTAGTACAGTTCTAAAATAAACTGATTTAGTAATGTCTGCATTACAAGAGATTGCACTGAATGAACTTCACAGTTTATTTCACTGTGCAGTGGATATAATTTCTAACACAGTCAGAGCAGGATGTTCTCTACAAGGGTGCATTGTTTATATGTAGATACAGGCTTGAATATTGAGGTTCCAATACACTGTATCGACTGAGTATGACTGGCAGCACTACATTATGGTAATCCAACATCTCTTGCTTCTTGCTGTGACTGCTTTGGTGGTGTATGATTGGATGGTCGTCACCTGTGACGTGGTGGTGTCTGAATGTGACACACTGCAGCCTGCAGCCTCTGTAGCAAAGAGGCATTTGCATGCAGGGCTTTACTTAATGTAAATGGAAATAGATTGAGAAAGGCTTGGGTTTGCTACTTTTTTTTTTTACCACCTGCCTGTACACATGACATGAACAAGTGCAGACTGCCTAGACAGTAAAACACACTGCAGTTGTTTTTCTCAGTCATGCTGTATCATCGCAGTCAGCAGTGGATACTGCGTTACACAAAATGTATTTTATACTGTATTAGTAAATTAAAGTTAGTAGCAGGATATGGGCAACTTCAATGATGCCAAGTATGTAATATCATTTAAAATATATCTTTGCTTTAGGCATCTGGGCCAGAGAACCATTTTGCTAAATGCTATTGATTTTCCCCTTAGTGGCCTAAAGAGAGGGACTTGAGGCTGTCAGTAATATAACTTGGAGAACAGTACAGTATATCACAGTGGAAATTCTCCTGCTGTAATGATTCCTTATGTCGACATCAGGGCTGGATTCTGATCAGTCATTGCCAGACATACAGTACATTTTCTAACTGATATTGCATTTACAAAAATAAATAGGATTTGAAGGTTTTTTAATAGGTGGCATCAGCCTGACATCATTTTTACTTACATACTGTTCATTTTATTTTGAATGAACTCACAAATCTCTTTGATTCCTGAGATGCCATCACTGAAAGAGGGAAATATAACTACCACTTAAAGTGAGCTAGGTACTTTTTCCAGTAAATTCAATCTCCTTATCATCTGAAATATATAAAGTATATAGCCTATGTGCCTACAAACACATGTATATCATCAGCATGATCCCTCACACAAAACCGTGTGCAGACATACAGGACAAATCACAGCTGAACAGTATGACAAAGGCATCCTATAAAGATTTTTTAAAATACTTTATAAAAATTGCCTAATCTCCCACACTGTTAAGTCAAGATAGAAAAGACCCTTGACTAAGATGGTAACATGCTTCTATAACATCCTTCCATGATTTAGAAAATCTAACAAACCTTCGCTGAGGCAGAAAGCTGGTCTTTGCAATGTTCAGTAACTAAATGAACCAAACCAATTAAACCTTTCGCTCAGGGAAACACACTTGGTGTTTAAGGGGTTTCTGCATATGAATCAATCCAATCATTGTCTCTAAATACCTGAGAAGGCGTCATCTACAAACACAACAAAGCCAGTTCTATAGCCATGCCAAAAAATTACAAGCAACATTTGATGAACAGATTGATAGAAAGGCTAAAAGAGATGAGCTTCCAATCAGTACTGCTCATTTCCACCTGCCAATTACAATTTATTGAGATAAAACATCCTAATAAATATTCCTCTCAGGGGTAAGATCTGGAGTGGGAGACGGTAATGGAACGCAATAAGGCTTTTATTTCTCTTGCTCCGTCTTCTTTTAATCCTTTTTACTGACATTCACCCTTTCCTGAAGTTCGT